GGGCGTTCTAAAAAGTGCCGAACGTTAGGGAAAAGGGAGCTAGAAAGGTGGCCTCAAGTAGGCTGGTGAAATTTTTCGACCCATCGCAAACCAGAGTGCCTAGTATCGGCGAGATCAACACGAATAACAGGCAAAGTAAAAAAGACAGAACAAGCTTGAAGTCTACTCGCATGAAAGTTTTCAAACAAGAGGATGACGAAAGTGACTTAAAAAGTTGATCCAAAGAAGATGGAGTAATAACAGATACTTAAACGATCTCCGTTGAGGGCCAGCTATGAAATAAACGGTTTTTCGTGTTTGAAGTATGTGTCCGGTCGTCAGTCTTAAAAGTGGCGATCGGCTGAAGCGCAAAATTAGGGTAGGGTTATGGCGACGGCTTATGAGTTAGTCTTCCGCTCAAAGGTCGGGAAGGACTTGGGACTCCGCCGGTACTATAAAGTCATTAGTACCTAGGAGAGACCACAGCACATCCTGAATGACCACAAGAATAGACGAATCTCGTTTGCCGTTAGTGAAACGAATGTGCTGTTGACTTTTCAAATTATTGCTCATTGACTAAGGAATACATTTACGTGTGGAACGTACACGGATACAAGGTGAGACTAGTAATTACTATGCACACTAGCCCCTCACCCTCCCTTAAAAAACCATACCAGACTTGTTCATCTGTACATCGCTCGCCATGATAAAAAAATCAGCGTTAGGGTATGTTATAGCTTGAACATCCGTAACAGTAGTTTTTATACAAAATATTCGCGACAGGACAGTGTTCGAGAAACACTAATGAAGTGGTAACCAAGTGGACCACATCGGTTCTCATGATTGCTGCCAAATCAGCAAAGCAAATCCAAAATATGGATACAAGTGAAGGTAAATCACGCTAGAAGAATGCTTGTTACGTGATTAATTTGAGACAAAAGTCTGGTATCCTAACAGGCGCAGCATGGGTTAGTTGGCATTAAGGCACTTTCAAAATGCAGGAAGGTGAGGAATATTTACCTGAGAAGTCACCAAAGAACCGACGGAATATAATGCGCAGAAGCGGTCGAACGTTCAGTTTGGCCTCTGACTTGGAAAGATAGATTCCGAGCTCAGCACACAGACTAGGAAGGCAGGTGTCTACGTCACCTACGGTCTGGGCAAAAATCTTGTAAATGGGCTCCAGAATGAATTCCACGAAACTGCGGACGGAGTTCACGCTGGGTGGTTTTGTTTTGAAAGTTCGGCTATATCCAGCAGGTAGAAAACAACGGAAGAAAGAAGATCGTTAAATCCGTATGATTGGTAAATACATTGGGAGGGTAACGCTAACATTTCAGACATCAGCAAAATCGTGCAGATACTGTATACACATCGGACTCTCCAGGCCACAACCGACGTCACGTAAACAGGGCCTGGCTGAAATTTTCCGGTTCAGGCAATTTATACTAAAATAAGTGTTCTTGAAAATCGAAGAACGCGATTTCTTTTAAGTGGAAAAGAGTCACGGCAGAAAATGAACTCAGGCAGGACGACGGTGGGCTCTTTACTTCGAGGATTTCTCAGAGTTCGTGTACACTTACGAATGTGGCCCAACAGTTGTTCTGATGCAACAATGACACCAGATACCAAAGCTTCCGCTGCATATCCTTAGAAATCTGCAAACACTACATACTATTTTTTCGACAAAGTGGGAAAATGTAAACCTTCACTGTAAACTGGGGCGATATTGCAGCTTTTTTGATCTTAAAGAAAGGCAGCAAAACATCATGGACAGATTTCGCGCTCCATTGACAAACTTCGGCTAAAATGACAAGAATAAAGTAGAACACCAGAACCTGTCGTTGACGTTCTCGTTCGATTCAACAAAAATAATGACATAAGAGTAAGATAAGCTAGAAAGAAGAATTGAGAGTATTCCTGGTTTCTATGAAAACACTCTTTCTGCCCATATGCTAGGCATGGCGCATGACGAAGATCCTGACTACGCACCGTGGCACAGCACAACCACTGTTTATCAACGGTCAATCCATTGAAGAAGTTAGCTGCTACCGCTATTTGGGCTCGAATATGGTAGTCAACGGACAGGCCAAAGAAGAAAGAAGGAACCGAATCGTGCAGGCTCGCAATGCATTTAAGCCGCTAGCCAGACCACTCTGGTCTCGCTCAGACATCAGCTTACGTGATAAGCTGTTGATATACTGAACATCAATCAGAGCGGTGTTAGTATAAGCTTGCGAAAAATGGCCTGTCAGAAAGGCACACATCTTATCGCTCGAAGGCTTTGACCGTTGGTGTCTCCGACACCTCTCAATAGTCTTCTGGCAGGACCCAATTTTCAATGTCGAGCTATATCGCAGGTGTTTAAAACCATCACGTCTAGCATCATACATCCAGTATCGCCGAGTGCAATGGTTTGGCCATATCCTACGCAAAGCATCGGCGGACCTCTGCAGATTGGCCGTGAATACCTCACGTAATGCAAACTGGAGATACCGACATGACGGTCAACTAAAGACGCGGTTTAACACTGCCAAGTCGGACGTCGAACGCATGGACCTTGTAACCGTTTACGGCTTGCGACACTGGAACGAACACTGGATTAACATTTGCGAGAAGCTCGCTTTCGATCGCTGCCAAAGGGCCGCTGCTGTCCGTGACATCCGTGAAGCCGATTCATCCAACAGAAAGAGCTAATCGGATAAAGTACAATTGGTGGCGATTACGACTTCGTCCAAGTTCACCCCTCCGACTTCGTCTCTAACGGATTGTCAAAATAACTCATCACTCACATCATTTTCTATCTCTTTACTGCTACTACTACCACCACTACTACTACTACTACTACTACTACCATTTTTTAGTTCTAATACGTCTAAGATGAAATAAGCCCAATTATAAGGTACACATAAATTATAACTCTCTCACCCATTTGGCTTATATGTCCTTACCCAGTCGAGCGATTTTGTCTATTCCGATTACGACACGGATGGCTACATTACCTGCCAACCTCTTGCACGTCACTTACCATTTGGCCCAGAGAGTTCGGCAGGTAATTGCATCGAGCTGCAAGTGAAGTAGTTTGCGACAATACTTTGTTTGATCATGGTTCAAAATAGCGACCGCGTCGATCAGGCCGCCGGACTTTAAAAGGCCTTGAGCGTGGCTAATAATAAGCTATGATTGCACGAATTGCCTGTAAAGTTATGCAACATTACCCGGGATTTGCGGTCGACCAACTGCAATGGAAAGCGATTACTTGAGATGCGGTAGGCTTGCACCATTAAGACTGCTTATGCACTCTTATGATGAAAGCCTTTACAACAGTATGTGAAGATGTAGTATAACCTGTAATGATGAAATTAACAAAATAAAACGATTTAAAATCCAGAAAGGCCGACATATACCAACAAAGGAGAAAAACTAGGCAGACTGTTGAATAGTTGGCGTTACCAGGTAAGACCATTAGGACGGTTTATCTGCATTCGTCAGCAGGGAAGACCGAGTAGGTTTAGGATTTCAAGCCCAGATTCTGGCAGCTGCGAAGGAATGTATTCAATAGTCACAAGCGGGTGGTGCTTACAGATATGTGCTGATTACTAAGGAATCCCAGAGCAGCATCTGCCAGAACGGCTTGAACGCGGTAGAACAGTCAAAGCAAGTATACATGTAACTCAAGGACAATAACCACTAGGTGACCCGTGGACCGCAAAAGAAATGGTTATCAAGCGACTCACGTTTCCGGGATAAAATACTGGTCGCCCCAAAGTTTCTTGGCAAGAATCTTGTAGTCAACCGAGGGGAAGGTGTCGGCGTAGATCTTGGAAAAGGACTCGAGGGTAAAGCAGAATCGGTAGTAAGAGCTGGCAAAGCAGACGTTGCCTAGCAAAGGGCTGACAATGTGCTGGGGTTCGGGAGAGGAGCCTGGCAAAGGATAAAGTATAATGTATTTGAGAGCTCCAAGCAGATGTAATCACCAACAACACAACGCCTTACGAATTAACATCGTACACGGAGTAAATCACGTTAAATTGAGGTGGTACATGACGATATAAAGTGCAATAACACTGTGTGGAATGTTATCAGGACTATATAGGCTAAACTAGTAAGGTTAAACAATTTTATCAAGGGAAAAGCAGGATAAATTGAAAGCTGTCGGACCGCAAGCAATTATTAACCTAGAGGGCTGTTCGCTCGCCGAAATCATACCTTTATTCATCAGATATAAGCGCGACAACAAAAGGAGCAAAAGTTATAGGGGTATGGGCTAATCCAATAGAGGAAAAGGCAGTCCAGGGGATGACGGTGCGAGGATCTGTATACCGGAGTCAGACCGATATATTGATTGACTGAGTTTTAATCGGAGGCCTAGGTTTCAGTAAATTCGCGGCTTGTGTTGCTTCTAGTGCTGGAGATTTGCTTCAAAGGTGAGAAGTTAAAATCGTGACCCGTTTTGTAGGTATGCCCGGCCACTTGCGATTATCTGCCACTCCGTCTCACAAACAGCTTATATTCGTGTATTCGCAATCCATGCACGTGTCCAGTCGGTCCTGTGTAGTTACAAAGACGGTTTACGCAGGGGATTGGATATACTACATCCGACTGCTCACTACTAGGATTTAATCAGCCCTTGACATTTCGGCGAGCGAACAGCCTTCTCCTTTACTTATATGTACACCTAGAATGCGAACATTTGCCTTAACCACGAAACGGATATGCAAATTTACAATACCGGTATGTCGTCCCACAAAATACAAATTGTACATGTCTGCTGCCTTCGATAGCAAAGTTCGAGAAGCCACGTGGACCAATCAGCCCAACCACGTGGTAACCAATAAGATACACCACTTATCTTAATGCACACTAACATCAGGCTCGATGGAGAGTAACCGAAAGGCAAAACGGTAAAGCCCGCTTTGCCTTGGCAGAAAATCTGATCTTCCAGTTACGCGCTATTGGCATTCGTCCATCGATAAAACGACAGTTCGACTGTAGATTGCGACTATGCCCACTGTGTACTCCACAACAGGGTGGACGCCGGGGTGGTTACCTGTGCATGAATTAGTTTGCAGTCATGGTAAACTTTGGCAGCATCTGCTCCACTCTCTCTCTTCTTTTGGTTTGGAGACAATCATTAAGACCGGAGGAAGAAGGGGGAGCAGTAGCTGAGAGAGAGAGAGAGCTAAGTACCACGTAGGCCTGGTCAGCGCACAATGGACCAGAATTCCAAGCAAGCAAAGAAGGGAAGGCTCCGATTCCTGCTGAGTGGGAGTACCATAGAGGCCATTGAAGCTGTCGCGAAAGGAGGATAGACTTGACCTGGCAGCAGTTGACAGTTATGGAGACCACCACTTTTAGCGCACCGTACAGTAGCCGCCGAAGACCATGCAACGCTAATTATGAAATTCGCCTGGGCACTTTGGCATATATTTGAAAACACTATTGTGATTCATTCAGTTT